ATATGCAGTTTTGGCTTTTGCTTCTTCTTTTCATTTCTGCATACATGCAAAAATCAGACGACTCTTATTCTGTATGAAACTGCCTTATTTTTAAGTGTTGTACAAGTTACACGTAATGTGTATTGTTCAGCTGGGAAAAGATCAAGATTTTAAAACTCGAAGTACGATTTCTATTGAATATGCTTTAATATTTAGATCTATTTAAGTTTTTAATCTTTAAAATATACCTTTACTGAAAACCTGTTTCGTTTAGAAATCTTTTCCCTCTAGGCAGCCTTTAAGTGATTAACGTAATTGATTATTGATAATACTAATGTTCATTTATGCTTTCAGAAATAGTGGTCACTTTTAAAAGTACCATGAGAAGACGCACAAGGTCCTCTCATGGTCATTTCTAAATTAAAGAATTTTGTTATAAAAAATATATGTAGCATTTTATAGATTAGCATAGGAGTAAAAGGGGTTTAAATGATTGGGAAAAGAAGCATAACAGTAAAAAATACTAGATAAATTAAAAATTTTGCAAAGTAAATTAAAAAAATATTAATACTTTTGCGTGCGTGCGAGTTTGTAATGGACTGAATGCAGACAGAACCGATTATAGTTTGCTAAAATGTATAAAGCTTTTATTATTAGCTTGATAAAAAAAAACATTTTACCGTTCTGGAACTTTCCACAAAAATACTCGTACAGCTCTTCTTAGTATCACAGAATACAATCCATAGTTACACTCCGAACTACTAAGAACGTTAAACACAACGCAAAGCGTATCTAAAGAACGAACCTCACACGGAGCTATCTCAATACTCCGTAGTCGACTCTGAATTGAGAAACGGAAAGCAGATGCTCTTTCTAGTCTTATGTAGTTTTCCCATGGCAGTCGAGAAATCTCTAGTACCTTCACTTCTAGAAATTAGTGGAAGGCATTATACGGTGAAAGTTACATCTAAGGGCAGGATCCGGCTATTGTAATAACTGTAATTGATGATTTTATGTAATAGGGATCAACTGGAGTTATACGTGGTCGCAGTTCAGTACTAGTTACAGCCAGTCACCGGGCAAATTCAATTACAGCACCACTTACAGTCGGTCACCGGTCCAAAATCTCTTTAAATGGTCGCCGTCTTCGAAAGTCATTTAACTCAAATAGACTTGCCCTTGTAATCTTATTTTTCCAGCAGAGCTTCACCTCTTTTAAGTATTTCACATTACATTATACAAACAATATTACAGTTTCACTAAACTTATTTCATATGCGACAGGATAAGATGCTTTCATTATTGAGTAGAAGAGATAAGAAAATAACGGCTTTAATTCTATCAAATACAAACATGTTTTGTTTGCTTGACATTTCGGCCATGATTCAGGTATTTAAACGCCTACAAAATATGATGCTTTCCAATTTGTTTCAAATTTCATATTAAGGATAAAATCAGCACTTTTTATTATAAGTTGGACTGTAGAGACATTAGGTATTTTTTGGAAGCAGGCAAGATGAAAAATTAGCAAACGTTTTCGCCGGGAATCGAAACCACGGACCACTGGAATACCGGCCCAGTGTGCAAAACCACTACACCACGAAAGCCTGCTAGGAAGGCGGGAGAAATACCTTACATAATCCCCCTTTTAAAGAGCGAATGGGGTTTTTGGGGAACCCAATCGCCAAATTTTGAGTGAGGAGAATTCATCATTCAACACCCTTTTAGTTCGGGCGCCCACTGTAGAGACATTAGGTTAATTGGAAAAGCCGGAGAGATGAAAAATGAGCAAACGCCTTCGCCGGGAATCAAACCACGGACCTCTGGAATACCAGCCCAGCGTGCAGAACTACTACATCACGAAGGCACTCTAGGAAAGCGGGAGAAATACCTTATATACTCCCCCTTTTAAAGGGCGACTGGGGTTTTTAGGGGACCCAGTCGCCAGATCCTGGTTGAGGAGAATCATCATCCAACACCCTTTTAATTTGGGTGCCAGTGTAGAGGATTTTTTTTTTTTTGGAGGCCGGAGAGATGAAAAATTAACAAACGCCTTCGCCGGGAATCGAACCATGGACCTCTGGTATACCGGCCCAGCGTGCAGAATCACTACACCATGAAGGCACGCTAGGAAAGCGGGAGAAATATAAATTCATTTACTGTTACCGTCACTGGACTGTATAAAAATTAATTTATGCTGCGCATGGGCGATTCGAAAGTTGGGCACGTTAAAATTTCAAAATCTGTGAAAATTCCAAATTAGATATTAATGGCAAATTGTATCAATTGGTCACAGCACTGTGCTCCTACAAGCAATATGTCACTTCAAATTTCAGTTGCGATTTATGCTGTTAGCTGTAAAAATCGTTTGCTTCGTGCAAAAGATAGAGACGAATTATTCCCAAACAGAATAAATTTTGATGAGTGAGCATTACTTCGCACCACAAGCGAAACAACTGAAACTGTTTAAAAAGATATTTAAAGATGTTCGTAAACCTAACAAGACAATAATTATCCGCTTGATAACCTGATTTCGAGAACTGAAAGCATTCGCCATAAGAGACGACATGGCATCGATCTCTTCTGAGAGTTCAGATAGAATGGACAAATTTAAGAATAAAATGTTGCAGCCAATAAGAAATCAAAGTAACAAGTAAATTATTATTTTTTGAAAAGAATTTATTTAATTTTCATATGTGACTTTGATGGAATGGATACATTAACTTATGTAATTTTGCATTTATATTTCATTTTGCTACTCTTTTAAATTTAAAATTTAAAAAAATTCTCATCTTAAATCGTGTTTTACCACAACTTCCATTTATCGAAGTTTTTCGCAGGCTCCTGCAACTTCGTTAAATAGAGGTTTGACTGTAGTTGCTTTCCTTTATGGTCACTCCCGATATAAACTTGTCTAGAATCAGCTTATACTTGACTCGTATGAGAACAGATCAAATATCCCCTTTTGTCGCTTCTGGAAATGATGTTCACAATACTACAAATGGATAGCTGATACGTTGGAAGAGAAAGGCATGCGCACTTGTGATTTCTTCTCCAACAGCCATCTATATTTCGCTATGGACACTATTTATTTTTCGACTAAAGGTGACAAAGCAACTATACAATTAAATCGTTAGAAAATTTAATTTTTGTGAAAGGCCCAGACAAAGCAAGAACAGCAGCAATTTAAGATAGCTGGTTAAAACAACTAAGTATTAAGTACAAATAGAAGAAAGAAACTGTTTATACACATTTACCTCAAAAACCATTAATTTTATCTGCATGCCCAAACTTTACTTTGAATGAAATGTAATAAATTTACAACAGCTGTTTTTTTCCCGAAAGTAAAGACATTTTCACGGTCGTGCCATCATATCCGCTGATTCGGTATCAGCTATTTATGATAAAACGTGGAAAGGGCACCATTACTTATGTTTCTAAATGCACTCCAAGTTACACTGGCTAAACATACGAGATACTCAGATAAGCCGCTCAAACACATCCAAAAATAGGACTTATCATAGAAAAGAAATTCGGAAGATTTCGGAACGACGTAATCAGATATGAGGGTTGAAAATGCTCACTTGCACAGAACTTTACGTTTATCCTCAACTAACAAATAAACCCTCGGGTTCGAGGGAGGGCAATATTTTTCCTCTCTCGTATTCCAATTTGACAGCTAGAATGCAGAGATTTACAATAAAAATATGTTGAAGTCATCTCTTTGTTTCCGAACCTGTACAACTCAATTAAAATTTTTCTCTCCAAAAAAATCCTTTCTCTCCAATTACTTTTAGCGTTTTCTCTATTCTGAGTAGAGATGCTTTAACCCTTTTAATCTTTTTTCACTGGTTTGCTAAAGAAAGAATGATTTAGAGATTAAATTCAACCGGAGGCCGCTACTGATTTTCAGTTTCTGACAAACCATAATTCTGACCCGAGATCTAAATAAGATGAAGTCCAATAAATGTGGGTTTCCCCATGTGTAACGTGCATACGAGCCAGTTTCCCTTAAAAAGTCCTCCATGAAGGCGACCCTCCACTTACGTAGCTAGCCTTTGAGGGTTTGCCGTAATCACATAACCCAATATATGTATTTTATCACTTAATCTATAAAATTATTTGAGTCTATATTTTATTGAATTTTAATTATCTATTTTTGTTCACCTTTCTATAGGGTTCCAGCACTCATAATTTTAGATATTAAACCCCTATACCATACATATATATGTTTTTAAGAGACCTAAAGCCACCAGGTCATCTCACTTTCAAAATAAGTAACCTCAAGTTTGACAATGGATTTTCATCTCAATCCATCAATAAAATTTTAGTAAAAACTCATTTCATCAAAATATCTATCTGACTACAAAAACTTATTAGAAAAGTCGGACTAGTAAATACATCACTTTACTGCCTGCTTCATAAATTACCAGTTTCCACTATTTTCGTATTAAATTGAATTTGCAAATTACATTCATCATCCAATGTTGTACACACATTCGAATTTGCTTTTTGCCCAACAGGTACTTTGGAAAAAAGTATGACAATTCTTTAGCTGCCATTGTGTTTCATCTAGCAAATGCTTATTTATGCTGGTAAACACTCCTCCAGCAGAAAACATATGACAGTAGTTTCTATTTTACGCAGCTTAATGCTCAGCTCATTTATTGTTTCAAAATACTAAGCCACAAATGTTCTTAAGATTTGATATTTAAAAATACACATGATTTACAATAATTTTCATTTTAAATACTTACAGCTCTCTTTTTCAAAATTATGGTTACACTACAAATTAATTCATTTTGCAAGGTTTATTTTCTTTTAACTCCATTTATATGCCTCAACTCAGGTAGTTAGGGACTAGGAATGGAATGCAAAGAATATAATGCTTATTAGAACTGTGAAGGATCTTCAGCATAAGCTGGAAGAAATCCAGGCTGCAACTAAGCATTGGTATTCCATTCAAGTGAGGTAAACAGAATTGGCAGATCTGTCTGATGACAATGTCATGTATTGTTTCAGATGCAACCTCAAGATGAAAGAAAAACAACCGCATTAAACAAGTTCTTGAAACTAGACGTTCCAAAAAACCAAAAGCAGATGTATGAGAAAGTTGAGGACAGTTTAGTAGAAGACTGGAAAGACTCAGACTAATGTAACTGAAACGTTTTGAGAATATGTATATACAACATATGTAATTAAAAACTTTTACCAATTTCTAGCATCTTAAACAATGGTGATGTTTTGAATATTCTGCAGAACTTTTCCATGATGCTTTGCAATTTGGATTATTCTGCAACAGATTGTATTCATTACATAAGACAGCCATTGTACATTAATTTTTAACATAATCACCATGCTAGAATAAAACATTAGAAAAACGATGGTCTGCTAAAGACATGGGCATGTAAATTTGTCAGTCATAAGGTTCTTGAATGTTTTCTGATACAAAGAGAGATAGATTAGGAGATTGCTCGATACCATTCCACATCAGTTTCTTGATCTAAGCTCAGAGGAGGACTTAATAATAGTACTTGCATCTTAAGTCACGCATACATTTGGATAGTGCTAATTAACACGTTGAGCCCAGCGGCAGTCACCTGGGATTGGCAACGGAATTTTCGTTTGGCTGGCGTCTGTCTTCAGGGTTGATGGTATAAACATTTGCAACCACGAGCTTTGTCATGCACAGATAGGGCTTGTATGTCAGTAGCTGGCAAAGCTCACCAACAGATAATCTCTACTCAGTGCATGAAGTCTCGGATCACCCTGCAACATTGCACCGCTTGATCGCTTGCACCGGCTGAACGGAAAGAATAGCAAATTCGACGCTGGGCTCAACATGTTAAGTAACAGTTTTACTCTATAGCTTTTGGGTTACATGACCCTGCGGGAAGTTTTATTCAATACTTTTGTTGAACCTTTGAAATAGTATCTATCTTTGATACAGAAAGGTTGTCAAATAATTAATTTTATTTTAGACAGAAAAAATGAAAAATTACCCCATGGTTTGATTCACACATTTATTAAATCAAATTTCAAAAAGTAATTTTGCTACAAAAAATAGACTTCTATTACATATTTTTCAGATAAATGTGGTATAAAACATGTTAGAAAATTAGAACTAAGACAGAAATGAAATATAAAAATGAGCAGAATAGACAAAGGATTTTGGAATAATATTACTACATAAAAATCTATAAAGGAACAAAGAAGGAATGAGATAACACATGCACACAAGTTCAATATAATATATCACTATCAAAAACATTGCTGCAGTACATACATTGCATCACCACATTCCACATCAGAAAATAGTCATTTATAACATATCTTTAAAAGGAACAACACTCACACTTTATCAGTACTGTAAATAAATTAATAAAACTTAAAATATATGCACATATCTATTATGACTAGCACCAATATAAGAATCAAGATTACACACCACACACTGCAATTCAAGCATGTAATAATTGTGCTTTTTGCCATATGCATATATTTCTTATTGCACATACAGTTAATATTTTATGAAATTATCAAAATCAAAATTAAAAATTCATATGGAAAATGCTTTTAAAGATATAAGTTTCTAAAGTACACATTTGAACAAAAAATTCCACACTTTGAATACGCATTCAGAAAACAAATTTCTTACAAAATCATATTTAGTAAGAAGAATCTTGAGCTGAAATCCAATCTATTGATCAAAGTAGAAGTAAATTTCTAGCAAAACGTCAATTAAAACAAATACTGACATAAAATCTATAACTATTATAAAATAATATTTTAACAAGTATATATATACAGTACAAAGTCCGTAATCCGGACTCGTTTCGATTTCGGCGATTCCGGATTATAGATCATCAATTTAAATCTAGTAAGATGGCATGCAGAAATTATACAATTAAAAATATGAAATCATAATTTATGAAATAAAGAGCAATTATGATTTAAACGGTATCAAAATTTACAAAAAAAAGTGTAATATTTATTTGTTTACTTTATTAAACATTTCTATCAATGTAATATATTTGAGTGTAAAGTTGTTTAAGTTGCTTTGTTTTTTTGTGCTTTCTTTCTCTTTAATTCTATAAACAGACATAATTTTTTGTTCAGTTAGAAAGTTCCACTGTTCGAGTCCTGTAATTGCTGTGTCGAGAATACCGACTAACTTGTCAAACGAAATTTTTTCGTTTTCAATAACCTCTCTGTCACTTTTCTTCACTATCGGAAGCACGAGGGTAAACGCTTTATGTACATGCGTAATTTTGTGGCTTTGAGGTCCGGATTATAGATCATTCCGGATAATAGACGTCCAGATTACGGACTTTGTACTGTATAAGTACTAGAGGAAGTAATGAGAACATAATTAATGGCCCGAAAAGAATTCATGCAGAATATTTAAGATTATTTCCAAGGGAGAAGATTTATGCTACATAACCCAAAAAGAAAGGGGGTATTAGAATAAATTACAAAGCAATTAAAAATCATAACTAATCTTTCCTTAATACAGTATAAAGTCCGTAATCCGGACTCGTTGGGACTTCGGCGATTCTGGATTATAGATCATCAATTTAAATCTGTAAGATGGCATGCAGAAATTATATAATTAAAAATATGAAACCATAATGTATGAAATAAAGAGCAATTATGATCTAAACCAAATTTACAAAAAAAAAAAGCTTAATATTTATTTGTTTACTTTATTAAACATTTCTTTCAATGTTTTCAATAACCTCTCTGTCACTTTCTTCACTATCGGAAGCGACCCACGTGCGCATACATATTGGAAGCGCGCATTAAACGCGCATGCGCAAAGCATACAAAAAATTTTTTTGCGGCTTTGTGGTCCGGATTATAGATCATTCCGGCTAATGGACGTCCGGATCAGGTACTTTGTACTGTATGTCCTTTTTGATAATATATTAATAAGATAAAAATTAAGATTTAAATTAACATTTTTTAATTAAAAGGGGAGAACCTGTCAGAAAATCAATGTGGACAAAAAGTCATATTCAAAGCCAATGATATTTTTCTTTTAACTGATGTTTTCCTGTGGATTTGAAAAGAATTAAAGCAAAAACATCTCGAAATTTTGAATGGTCTTATGAATCTCCAATAACTGAGCTTTGAGTGAAAGTTTTCCATTGCTTTTAATACCTTAATATATATATATATATATGCAATAACTTGTAGAGGTTTCTTGTGTAGATAGAACAGTGACACTTTCAGACTTGCTGTAGATTCAAAATAATTATATATATATACAGTCAAAAGTCGTTAATCCGGACCTTTACGCATGCGCATAATACGTATAACGGACGGTATAAGCTAAGCTAAAATTATCTAATTATCTATTTCAGTTGATGTTCCAGATTGCGTTGTTCCTTAATCTTCGAAATGGACCCAGCTTATTATTTTTTGCAGACTGTTAGAGCAATTTTATATAAGTAAGCTTGAACTTTCGATTATGTCAAATAGAATTTCCGATGCTGGAGCTGCCAAAGGATCTACAAAGCGAAAACATGTTTCGATGTCCATCAAATAAAATACGGAATTGCTGCAAAAAAATGGATAAAGGCATATCTTTTGTTTCTCTAACCATTCCGAAATCTGTTTATCAATTTCACGTTGCTCTGCGGGGGAGGGGAACGTTGCGGCACGCAATGAACTGGAAGTTGATCTGTCAGCACTATCTTCAGGGCAGATGTTTTTATTTTATTCGGCTTATAATTCATTACTAAATGTAGAATTTCATCTTGATGTACTCTGATATGATTTAAATCAAATTCATTATAAACATTACGGATACACATCAAATAGTTTTCTGGTTGCAATTTTCTAATTTCGATTATGCGTAAGGTATGCTTTACGCATGCGCGCGTTGAAAGAAATGTTTAATAAAGTAAACAAATAAATATTAAGCTTTTTTTTTTGTAAATTTTGATACCCTTTAGATCATAATTGCTCTTTATTTCATAAATTACGGTTTCATATTTTTAATTGTATAATTTCTGCATGCCATCTTACCAGATTTAAATTGATAATCTATTATCCGGAATTGCCGAAGTCCCAACAAGTCCGGATTAAAGACTTTGTACTGTATCTTATTAGTTTAAGTGATCAATACTGATTTAAAAATAACCATGAATCAATAAACAGATAAGCAATCAATAAATTTCCAGAATATATGGAAACATTAATATGAAATATATATTTTTATATGAAAAAATTGCTGCACATTTTTTATCAATTTAAGCAATTCACATGAAAGATCTGCAAGAATTTTCAACATCTGAAAATGTATTGCTCAGCACAGTCCTAAAAAATGGACTTGAAATGATCCATTATGTTAGCAATTTAAATGATACAAAACAGAAAATGGAAGTATATACTAATAAACAGCTCACTATTATTAATCTAAATAAATTTTTAAATTCTAATACAGATATAAACATTTATTATTAGCAATATTTTCAAGAATGTTTTTACCTTATGCATACTTTTCTGAAAATACTGCTGCATAACAAAATATTATTTATGTTCTCAGCATTTCATATCATTGGTATTATCTTCACCTATTTACAATGACTGATAATGATACAAAAGAAGATGAAATAAATTTTGCACATGTATTTTTTAAACCAAAATTAAAATTACAATGAGCAATTTCCAACTCTGAAATGTTCCAAAGACAGAAGAAAACACAAATTACTTAACTCACAGCAGTACTACGCAATTCATGAGCATTTAATATAAATAAAAATTGAACATCTTGGTGGAAATAAGGCACATGCAAGAAAGCCATATTTTACAGAAGGAAGAAAATGTGTGAAAATCTTTGTCTCGTAGAAATATGACAATAACAGAAATTCAGCATATTGCTGATTCTGAATTATATAGTATAGATGATATCCTAATTACCAATTATTAATAAGAAATTCATACATACATATAGCATAAGAAACCCATTACATTTACTACATTTATATGAAAAATATGTATTCATGCATATAAACCAATCATGTTCTAGGATTTTAAGTTTAAAACTAATAGAAATATGACTTATCACATGATCAAGAACAACTTTCAATACAAGTAGAATTAGGTTATTTTCTTAAGGTACTACTTGTGTCGACTACTTATATTACTTCTAATATTTTACATTATAACTATTTTAAAAGAATTTCTTTGTTACCATAAAAATAATTGTAGGTCACACTGATATGATTTAGAAAAATCTTAATATTTTTCAGTTCATTTTAAATTCAAATTTATCTATATTTTTTCTTTCTTAAGTTTTTAACTATGAAAAAGTTATAAATTAATTAATAATTATTTTACCTATTTTGTAAGCATAATTGATTATAGCACCACTATAAATAGTCATACTTTAATATCAATACAAATCTATTAAATAAATGGAGAAAGATAAATTTCATCATTTAAATACAAATTTTGGCTTCTCATTTAACAGCTAATATTAAATTAATAAAAAAATTTACATTACAAAATAACTAAAATAATTACTACAAAGTTTTAATAAATTGTAATAAATAAATTATAAAACAAAGAATTTTATTTAATTATTTTGACTCCTGCTGCCTAACATATCTAATGCATGAAAAAAATGAGTCAAAAATATTTGACAGAAATGAGATTTCATAATTTATCAGATGGATAAAATATTACACAAATGAATTAAGGAAATTCAATGAATTACACAAAATTTAATTTTGTGCTCACTGCTTTCCAACCTTTTAAACAACCAACCATACAAAATAAATACAATACCAGAACTTGCATTCTTCAAAAATTTGTACAAATATATTTGCACATTCATATGATAAAATGCATTTGTTTAACAGATAAATTTCTAATTTACTTTGAAATAAGTTCAATAAATTTTTAATTTCCCTAAAATATAATAACTGCTATAAAACATTCCTTGAAACATTTCTTTCTTCAAAATGCAAGAAAATTGTAAATGAATTCTTGTGCATAGAGTATGTACGTTTGCACAGCATATCACTCTGTCAAGCCTTTTTAACTTCATAGAATACCCAGCTAAGAAAACATGTTAAAGAAATATTTATTTTTGATTATGTAAATGCAAATTTTAAAAAATACATTCCAACTGAACAGAAACAAATTAAGAATATAAATAAAGCCCTTATGTTAAAAAATACATGGATATTTAACATTAATCAAAATGCTATGAAACATGAGATTGAGTGAATCAAGTAAGCGTTTGGAACTAACTCTGAAGTTAATCAAATGAAATCAAACTCTGTTATCATCCCAGTTATGGTTGGAAAATAATGCAGTATTTGCTTTTGTATTTCCCCATTACAAAACATTTAATGCAAATACCCCTTTCTTCAACCCTCTGCCCCCAATTTTCAAAATAATTTTACTTTCACTATGCAAACCACAATCTAAGATTGTTAGATTTTTCTGTGAAGGTCAGGCAGAAAAGCTTAAAAATCTCCTCATGCCACATGACTCTTTTTTTTTTTTGGGGGGGGGGAGTAAAATAAAACAATTTTTTGTCATTAAAAAAAAAAAATCCAGGACTCTTCCTATACTCAGTAAACACATTGAGGTACGCAAAAGAACATTGCTTAGCTACAGTAACCTCTTCCAACAAGCTTTCAAATTTTCTATGGTTCAATTCTTGTGAATGCATGAAAATCATTGTACTTATTACAATTTTTATTAAGGCATATTAATTCAAACATCAAGATACATGTTAAGCAAATTTTCTTGGTAAATGATACAGTGAAAAGCACTACGATATCTATTAAACTATATTTTTGTTTTAATATAAATTAAATCTGTTTTCAGATGCTTTAATTGAAAAATATGCATCTGTCCACATATAAATTAATCTCTTTATAACTTATTATATATCAAGCCATCTTATAAACTTTTGTTTAAATATTATCAATTAGATATGCTACTGCAAAAAGCAAATTAGTTGTATGTAATAATAATATTAAATGGTTTTGTTTTCTGAAACATTTAAAAAAATACTTTTAATGTGTATATCAGTTGTATTACATGTAATAAAATATTTTGGTAATTAATTTACAATTCTGGGCATATTTGTTAGCAGGTGGCAACAAAGAAGAGCTACAAATAAACCATTTCAGAATGCTAATGTACTCAAGAGTGTTATGCTGCAATACCTCTAAAAACTATAAATAATCCCTTAACAATTTTAAACCAATTCTACAACAATGCAATGAGCAACATATTAGCATCCTACAAGTTACAACTGCTATGAGACCTCATGAAAAGCTCTTTATGAAACTAAATAAAAACTGTAATCCATTGTTATATTAAAGTACAAAATTGTAAACTTCTATGAATGTTGGCTTTGTTTTATTTTTAATTCTACATCAATGTATTATAAAGCTACTTATTTTGCTGTGTTTATCGATATAATTCTTTTCCAGAAATATATAAGTAATATCAAGATAATCATAGGATATTTCAAAAATGTTTCAGAAATTAAATTCTGCTCCTATAAAATGAAACACAGTGATATTGTTGAAATGTTAGAACTAGAATCATGCTAAAATTCATACAATTTTTTTAAATTGTCTATGATGTAATCAGAAATACGTTTGGCAGTACTTTCAATGTGCATAATATAGGTAGAAGCTGAGAGCTGCATATTTTTACTCTGAATAATAATTTTGTTTTTACAGTCAAAAGTCTTTAATCCGGACTCGTCGGGACTTCGCCGATTCCGGATTATAGATCATCAGTTAAATCTGGTAAGATGGCATGCAAAAATTATAAAATTAAAAATATGAAACCGTAATTTATAAAAATAATGAGCAATTATGATCTAAAGGGTATCAAAATTTACAAAAAAAGAAGCTTAATATTTATTTATTTACTTTATTAAACATTTCTTTCAACGCGCAAATGCGTGAAGCATACCTTACGCATAGCCGAAATTAGAAAATTGCAACCAGAAAACTATTTGATTTGTATTCGTGATATTTATAATGACGAGGAATTTGATTTAAATCATATCAAAGACGGAGTACATCGAGATTAAATACTACATTTAGTAAGGAATTATAAGCCGAATAAAATAAAAACATCTGCCTTGAAGATAACAATAGTGCTGACAGATCAACTTCCAGTTCATTGTGCTCCGCATCGTTCTCTCCCCCCCCCCGCACAAAGCAGTGTGAAATTGATAAACAGATTTCGGAACGGTTAGATAAACAAAGGATATGTCTTTATCCATTTTTTGTAGCAACTCATTTTTTGTTTGATGGACATCGAAACATACTTTCGTTATCTAGATCCTTTGGGAGCTCCAGCATCGGAAATTCTATTTGACATAATCGGAAGTTCAAGCTTACTTTTATAAAATTGCTCTTACAGTCTGCAAAAAATAATAAGCCGGATCCAATTCGAAGATTAAGGAACAACGCAATCATCAACATTAACTGAAATAGATAATTAGATAATTTTAGCTTATACTGTCCGTTATACATTAAACGTGCACGCGAAAACGTATTCTGCGCTTGCGCAGACGCATATGCGCAGTCGTAAATGTCTTGCACGCACGAGTAAAACGTCTATGCGCATGCGTCAATGCGGCCCATGCGCAGAAAGATTTTAGCTTTGAGGTCCGAATTAATGACTTTTGACTGTACTACTAAACTTATAAAATAATACATTGGAAGATGCCAGTTAAATGATTTCCTGTGTTTTCCAGGTACATACTAAATTTCAAATGCTGCTCTTTTGTGAAATCACCATCAACCATAGGTTTTGTTATTTTTATAAAAATTTCTGATATATGTTAAAAAGTGGCATGAAATTAATTGTATTTTATAATATAATGGCAGTCAGTGTTGCGGTTTTTTAATATCACACTTTCACAACAAAGTAAAGAAGCTGTCTAACCATGTTTATTTTGCACAACAAAATAATGTGGAAGCCCTAGGAGTTTGAAATTTCTGAATAATACAGAATAGGCAAAGAAAGGATTTTTATGTATCACATAGTTTGTATTTTATTCAAAAAATATAAACTGAGAAATACCAGGAACTAAAATCAATGGCAAACCAATAAATACTACATTTTTTTTATAGTGTCACAAATCCATATATTCAAATATTCTTATATTTTCTGATTATTTGGGTATAAAAAATATTTTTTTTTACCAGAAGTCTTTATCATTATTGTAATAAGTACAAAGATTTTTATCATTACTGTCTTAGCATCTTTGTTCATTGATTTCTATTCTATTCGATGGTACATCAAATGTCAAGGATACCTAACCCATGCTTCCTATTTGTACTATTTAAAAGCACTTTTTTTTTCCCAATTTATGACATATTTGTAGAATTCCATAACTTTTCTTTTGTATTCAAGTGACAGTTTTTATGCTATTGCGGTTCTAGTACGCATGCACAGACCATTTTTCTTCATGAATCTCTCGCACCATGATGCTCACATCAGCAGCACACATGAAATATACAATATGCATATATACAAATATCAGCATACATATATCAAAATCCACAGCACATGTATTTATCGCTGATTTTTCCCTTCAGTTACAATCATTTTTGTTGAAACAGTAATCCCATTCTTCTTGTGATTTGTAATCCAATTCTTAACCTGTTCCTCAAGCCATTTAAGAGCACATAAAGTTCTTTTACTTTATGTTAAAAAAATAAATATTCTTATAAAGAATTATAAGTATTATTATAAATATTCTTATAAGAATTCTTATAAAGTTCTTTATCTGTATTCATTAAATCCATTATCTGCTTCTTCCATTTTCATACTATCTTCTCAGTCGGGGATAAGTCAAAATGCCTTTCGGCTGCTCCGTTTCTGTGCTCTAAAGCATAATCCATGATTTCAAGCTTAAATGCAATATTATATCACAATCTTCGGTATTCTCCCAATGCAATCCCAATCCAATATGCAATGTACCTAACATAATTGTGTAGTTACTTTATGGATCAATAGATGACACCATTAAAATTATTGTTTTTACACATTTTTTCTTCTACCATTTTATTCAAATTTACACGAGCAAATTTACCATTATTTAATATTAATAATTTTTTACCTTTTGCAAAATATTTCTTTTGCTGTGTTTTATGCTGCAAAAGAAAAGTTTTTTTGCTTCTTACTTCAACTCTCTGCAATGTAACGTGAAAAAAAAAATTCTATTCGAGAGTAAATTGATAACAAAGTTTCGAAGATAGCCTTTTAAAAACTCTTTGTAAATTCAATGGAAAAATTGCACGTGAAAGAAACAATAGGCATAAACACTGTTTTTACAAACAAAATAGTCTGAAAAAGAAGTGATAAAACTGATGAACTAACTAATAAAATTTGGTAGATCAACAGTTGAGACAATACCCAATCTTTTCTCCTTAGATCACATGAGGGTATTCTATTTTTAACATTTTATGCAATACTTAGTTTAAGCAGATATGTACACTGAAGAGAAAGAAACTTATTATACATTGAATGACACTACCATACTCCTTACGCCTGACTACTGGTAGACTTTGAGTTTACCACAAGAGATATTCCTAATGCCAATGAACCAACTAATGAGACGCTTACATTTTCAACTAGTAGAAATTGGCTAACCAAAACAGCCCTTTTATTCTGAAGTGCCAAGCACAATGTAAATGTACAAATGTCAATTGTGAGACATGATAACCCCCATGAATTGTTGCTCGCATTTTAAAAGGTAATAGTAAAAAAAAAAATATTACCATTTTTAAATGTAACTTGGCTAAAGTGAGTGACGGCACAGAACGGTGGAAATAATTAGATGGTTTTGAAAGTGAAACTGCTTCCGCACCACTCATGGGATTGGTGGCTGTGGTTTATAATATGTCTTGTTATTAATGCAGCATGTTTTCAAGCAGGAAGTAACACTATTTATTTTTTAAATTTAAATTTAATGTGCATATTACTAAACCAAAACTTTTTATAAAAATGATGCATCCGAAAGAAGTTTGGGATCGCCCCAAATTAAATGCTACAAAAGTTATTTCCTAAGGTATTTTCAGTGTCGTGGCTCACAGTCTAACATGCGAGATAAAACTACACTGCATTATGCTATATAGTTTACATACATAAATGCTACATTATATGTAGATATAAGATTTATTTGTGAATTGTTTTAGGAAATACTTTCAAGGAAATATTAAAACTCTATTGCTTTCTACTACTGAAAACAGTGTTATTATCAATTTGCAATAAAGGCAACCATTTCCTATGATGTGGAGAAAAGTGTTTAATAGTGTTCTCCCTTGCAAATCAGCTAGCATCTTAGAAGCAAAGTTATAACTCGGTCCATAAGATGTAGCCTGAATTTAAGGATCACTTGAGTGAAAAAAAAAGTGCTACTTAAAGCCAGGAAATAGAATACATTTTTGATGTAGAAATATACATTAAAAATCTCTTTCCTTCTAATTATAGACAATTAAAAAATGTTAAACTATTAAATACTTAAAACTAATGAAAAAGGATACTTTTCCATGAAGGATGGCACATAAGCTGAATGACTTTCAAATGTCACTTTAATTGGTAAGTTAGAAAGCACGTTTTCATATGTTTTCAAAGCTTCAATACAGCTTTCTCCTAGAGCCTAAAAACAACATTCATCACAAAATAAAATTACAGATCAAATTATGACTTTAAAAGAAAAATGCATAAGAATCCATAACACCACGAAAGAAATTTTGCAGAGTTGTGAAAATTACAAGGGCATTAGAAGTAAGTGCTACATAAAAGTTTTAACAAAATGAGATCATATTGATGGAAACAATGCTTTCATTTAATTCCTTTGTTCATTGTTATACTAATGACACTGAGTACCTATCATCATAAAATTAGGAAATTAGCAACCTTGTGTAATTTTATGTTTTACTTTAGTGTGTTTCTCTCCCGTCTTTAATCATTATCATGTTGGAATATATCTCAGATGCTCCTTGGCTATATGGGCAATACATATGGTTTCGCAATCATCATACCATACTTTCATATTGTCTGAAATGTATTCCAGAGGTCATATGAAATGCGGCCTAACACCCTTACACCTCATACTATACCAGTCCCGACGGGTCTGGATTTCGGACTTTGTACTGTAATTATTTAATCATGAACTGGCACATGAAATGCCTTCGGCACGACAAAGCACCATTGCATCAATTTCAGGAGGCCATGCCATTTGATGCAGAATTTGGTGCCTCAAAATATATGCTTCATTGGATAGCGATTCCAGCACAGGTGCACAGAGACTTGTCTGTTGCAATCAGGAATTCCATATTCATGATGAATATCTGCTTACACCACGTTTGTGAAACCTTCGATTCTACTACCTCTGAGGGTTGTTGATGAATGACAATTTTCCTATGTGGTTGTTTTATTAGTTTTCTATCATGTTATGATTGTGTTTCTGACTCTGCATTACTAAACGATACTGATTCATTCTCCCAGAAGTTTGAACACTTGGTAGTGAATCTGTTTACATATATATCATAGCTGCCAACCTTTAAATATGAAAAATCACGAGACTTATGCCCCAAAACTGGGAGGTTTTCATTTTGCATGGAATGCAATTTCAAGAGAATGCAAAACTGAGTTAAATTTACTTTGTAATGCATGATTCAGGTTATTGAACTAGTTATAATATGATTTTGATGTAAAATAAATTTATACTTAATTAGATGTCTATGTTTAATGTTCTTTGGCTGATTTCATTTTGTAATACCCTTATTTCTTTTTTCAAGAATATCCTGAAAAGGGAATGAAAGCCTACATTTATCAAGATATTTTTAAATACGATGAAAATAAAACTAGCAACTAATAAATATCTAACATTGTGTGGATAAACTTAGTTACGTACCATATATTGATGCAAAATAACTTTAAATACACATTTTAGCCGATTAAACTTTGCTTGAATCTTCATAAAAAGTTCTAAAAATATATACAGTGGATTAAAATAATTCAAATCTAATCAAATTGAATAAGAAAAATTATGCTGAAAATCACTAAGGATGGGTAACGGAATCTGAACACTTTCTGTTTAATTAATTTTCAAAAGCTCATTTATTGCTGGGAAATGTTTTCTTTAATAATGACTAAAAATAAAAAACTGGGAGAGTGGAAGAAGCACGGAAAAATCGGGAATCTCCTGCAAACAGACAGTTGGCAGCTATGATATATAATGTCTGTGTGTGTGTGTACAAATTAATTAAAAGTTAAAATACATCATCATTAATACATCACATTAAAATATTATTTCACCACAATGCAATAAAATAAAAGTTTTAAGATTAAATGAAACAAGATAACACAAAGTGGACTCAAGCAACTTACATGATTCAGATAACTACCATCATCTTTCAATACTGCTAAAGACATATTCACTATTTTCCTAACAAAATCCCATAATTCACCTGCAATCAGTATTCAGGTAAATTTTCTTTTAATGAAACAAAATGGTATCAATTGAGAGATTTATAAAAATTAAAAAAGGGATACAGAATACATGCAAATTACATTAAAAAATGTGTTATAAGTGTTTCAATTGTAGTTCAAATTACTTTTACCTTGAGGTGAAGTGGCTATTGGAATGTCAGTTAAATCATTAATTATGACATCAAATTTTCTGCCTTCTGCTTTATATTCGTCAAGCTTCTTCAGACAATCATCAACAATGACCTAACATTGTGGAAATATTATTAGCATGTTGGTTTAAATTTACAAGCTATTACATAATTATATGCAAAACACAAAAGAATAAGAAAAAGTTAACATGCAATTTACACATGTAAAAAATAATCACACAATGAAATAATATTCTTGCTTTTTGAAATCTCATTTCTACATACAGTTTTCCAACCATTAATTTTGTGAGATATTTTTGAGGAAAAATAAAATTTGAGTATTTTTCACACTGAAAATACATAACTAGATACATTATATGCAGTATACATACAGAGAAGCAATAAAAGATTGTCCAAGAAGGGATGAATGACTAGAGTTCCTGCTGGCATAACATCCCATTTCAAAAATTCATCATGCCCAATTTAATAAATTTCTAAAACAAGGAATGCAAAGGTTTTTAATGTAACTGACCATAACTTGAAACCTGAGGTAAAATGTGATGCTGCATTTGAAGATATATTAATGGCTCACAAATGTACAGAAAGTAATTTCACTGAGAAAATAACCCAAAACAGCTTTAAGATACTCAAATCTTCCAGAGCAGCTATAGAAGGTTTTGATTACGATTTAAGCAGAAAAAATACTGAAAATAATGAGACCAGTGAATTGCAGTATTGGGCAGAGAAAGCCATACATAAAATTAAGGATTTGTTAAAAATTTAAAATTGACACAGTGACCAGCAAAGCTAATTATCCCACTCAATAGCTTTTGTTTGATTCTTGTAAGTACCAATTATCACCATTACTTTAACTTTACACATTAAACAAAAATGGATTACTTTCACACACTTTACTGAGAAAAAACAGCCAACTGTTTGGAAAATGTAAGTTAAATTTTAAAATATCAAATCTGCATTTTTTCACTAAATTACAAAACACTCTAAAGAAATAAATAAAATTTCCACATTTTTTACACCTTAATTTTTGATTGGCATGCAACTGAAAAAAAAAAAAAAAAAAAAAAAAAAAAAAAGTGCATAAAACATATAAATGTGGTATATTACATTAATCTACACATACATTAAAAACACTTTTTATAGCTTTTAGATTGCTATTTGTGAATAGGTAAGAGATTGCTTTTTAAACACCTTCATTTTTATTAAATACACAGGCAACCTGAATTAAAATTTTATAAAATAAATTGCAGAGCAGGCTTTTACTCTACGAAAATGTATTCTGACTTGAGTGTAATGTTTCCTTTAAAAAAGACCCTTATATTAAGTTTTTGGTAAATATGCTTACACAAATTTTGTAATTACTTTATATGCCTTGGAAAGCACATAAAAGTAGGCTAGAAAATAATCTATAAATGCTGATAATTAAGTGTTATTCTTCATTTAAGGAAGACATGAAATGATTTAAAACTAAGATTATAATTTCATTTCACATTATGCTGAAAAATTATGATAAAAAATGATCCTATGATCATAAAAAACCTTTTAATTAGTTAAGCTATTTCTATAACTACAGGTAAGTGCTAGTAGTTTAAGTAACTAGTAGTAAACATTTTAAGAATTTATTATTTTTTTCTGTATGTGGAAATCATGAAATTACTATTAGTCTATAATATGAACTAGTACTAAACTTATGTATCAAGATTTTAGATTAAACTGCATGACAAACATATAAAAAACAAAACATGTGCTTACTTTATAATTTGGTCCCTCTAACTTGTCTAAGGAATCACCACAACAACCTCTAAGATGTATACGACAAGCATCAATAACCATTTGGTCTATTTGTTAATGTTAAGGCATAAGTTAAAATTACATTATTTCATTCATATTCTTTGTGACTGAAGTTTCGTTTATTACAACAATTATTTATTTTTATTTCAATAACAGAAAATTTAATAAAATTAGTAAGTAACAAAATTGAATAGTATAAAATTAAATGAAAGCATATTTGATGCACAATAAATTTTAAGGAATTTAGTCAAAAATGCCTAAAAAATTTCCCAACTTTATGTTGGAATTTTTATGAAAATAAAAACACTACATCAAATAACATACCCTAAAAACTTCAAAAAATTGTTTCACAAAGTTTTTTTAAACATATTTGGAACGAGCAGATGTTTTACTTTTTATTATGGCAGAATACTGAATACCAGCAAAAATAATGAAATTCTGAAGTTGGTTGCCGAAAACTTGTATCTTTACGGTTAAGATAAAAACTATAAAATATTTTTTGACATATCAATGCTGGAAATATGTGTTGTTTAAAAAAAAAAAAAAAAGATTTTCATAATTTGTATGCTAGCTTTTATTAATCTTACATATTTAATGTCTGTATTTGAAATATGAATTGGTCATTGACTAATCAATGGTAAATTATGCATAGAAAAATAAGAAATGAAGTTTAAAGCATAGACTTATTATAGCAAAGTTTAAGCATATTCAGCATTGACAATTATATATCTTAAGCACAGATTAAAGGATATATCAACCATAGTAACAAATTTTGGATTTTCTTTAAGAAGTTCATGCAACAAACCACCATCACCACCACCAAGAATTAGAACTTCTTTCCCAGTATAAGAAATAGAGCCATACTTCATCACACCTCTAGTATAATTCAAGTCACTTTCTGCAAGGTCTAAAAAGATTATTAAAATTTTTACTTTTTTTAGCCAAGACCAGCTAAAGTCATTGTTAGTATTAAAATGCATGCATAGCAACCAAGCATTAAAAATGTTTAATTGTGTTAAAAAATAATGATTTTATAAGAAAACTTTTAAATGAATAAACAAAAACACTGAGTTTACAAAAAAGAATCATGAATAGGATAATGTACAGGCATTATTTATCATGTTTGAAAAATGCAGTATATGAAAAATATGGACACAAAAATACAGAATTCCTTTCCTCTTTATATCAAGTTTTAAAAATATAATAAAAAAGGGGAAAAATTAACTTCCTTAAACTTCAGTGTCATTTTAAAAATTTTATAGTTGAAGATTCTTCTTTTGAGTAATATACATGGTGATTCAGTTAATCATGTATAAACTTTTGGGAGGGGATAGGTTACACTAAGACAAACCACAATTATATACCAATAAGGGTTCAAAAATGCTATCATCATACAATCATATATTAGATGACACTGTTCAGCTGCAAGATTTTTTTAATACTCTTAAGGATACCATCATTTGTAAACTATCTACAGAAGTAGTAGGATGGCTGAGTTCATGAACATGAAGATGGCTGATGAGTACCTTACATACAAAGCAATAATCAAGTCACTATGCAATCATACCAGAAACACTATCTAATAATGCAACTGCAAAACCTGATGCATTTATATGATTCATGAAGGGCACTGATTTTTTCCTCCCCCCCCCAAAGGTCTGCTAGGAATAAGAGCTATGGATACACACTTTCAACTTCAAAGTCATTCAGCTGACACTTTCAAATACCAGCAAATGAACCATTAAATGTCCACTGGCTTTGTCTCCCTTGGTCCAGTAAATACCAGATTCTAAATGAAAATCAACAAAATAAAATTTGAGCACCATGCTCAAAACAAGAACTGAAGATTATCCTCCATACTGCATTTGCTTAATGATATATGTAGAAAAGTATAGCATGATCCATTTATCCTGCTTCTGTATTATTTACACAAAAAGTATGCTTTGAAGTTAGTTCAATCCCCATAATTTGCCTGATTAGGTGATAGAAAGAATCCTCATATTGCACAAAACCAATTTGCTTTTAATCTTTGGGCTGACTTAATAAGGACCTTTTAACTCACATATACACTCTTTCGGGGGAAAAAAAAAAAAAAAAAAAAAAAAAATCGAAGCAGCATGATGGAAGTGGTTGTTTTTGATGAAATTGAATATGTGTATAGCTCATACACAGATAATAAAATGATTAAAAACTCAAGGTCATAGTATTTGTTCATGGCTCCCAATCACCCACTGAGTGTTCAAATTAGTAGTTGGTCAAAATACCCCTTGCGGCAATGCATGCTTGAATTCATCGAGGCAAGGAGTGGTAGAGGTTCCTAATGTCATCCTGCGACACATTCTACCAGGCATTCATCAGCTGTCGCTCCAGATCTGCAATATTTTGTGGTGCCGGAATCTGGCAGCCTACCATGTCTCAGACATGCTGCCAAAGATTATCAGCCACATGGAGACAGTCCAGAGATATGCGAGCAGTATGTGGCCTGGTATTATCTTGGAAAATAGCCCCAGGATGGCAGGTCATGAAGGGTAATGCAATCAGCCGCAGGATCAACATATTGTTGAGGTGTTAAATATGTATGGAGGATGACTAAAGATGACCTCCTTTGATAAGAAATAGCACCCCACACCATAACACCAGGGGTTATGGCTGTATGCTCTTGTAAAACAAAGGCTGATTGGGACCGCTGACTCCGTTCTTCCCAGACACGAACATGGTGGTCTTCTGCTTCAAGAGTGAAGCGGGATTCATCACTGAACACTATACAATGCCAGTCTGATGGCAGCCATGATCATCGGTTGTGACACCAGACGACTCCCCCAATGCTGTGGGGTCAAAGGCCTTTGTGAGCATAACCCCACCTCAGACAAGCATCGTGAGATGGTGGACGGTACCATGGGAGGTATAGACATGGCTTTTATTGCTTTGAATAGTCGTCAATGATACTGTTGGGACGGTTTGGGCCTAGAGTATAATCATCCTATCTTGCCTCGCATTTGTGCTCCTTGGCCTTCCAGAGCCTTCATTTTGTCGGCAATTTCCTTGCAGCAACCACTGCTGCCAACATCTATACACAGCAGTGTCTGTACGCTGCAGGTGGCGGCCTATTGCTCAGTATGACCACTCAGCTTCACACAACCCTACAATGCAACCATGTTCGAAGTCGTTTAGTTGTGTGTAAGTTCTTCGATATCGTTGTAATGCCGTCTTTAGTTGCTTCTTTACGGAATTACAATGGCAGCAACAAAAAGAGATAAATTTTCAGGCTCTGTTACTGGTTTTATACTTTGCAAATTGCGCACTAGAAATGTGTGCTATGATCGCAGTTCGTGTTCATTTGCCTTGAAACTTTGATCATTTGAACATTCAATCAAGATGTTTTTGCATACCAAATTTTGTCATGATTGCAAAAGTCCTCAAGGAGCTTCAATTTTTTTTGCAAAAGAGTGTTTATTAGGTATCAACATCTGTCTCAGTATCAGCGGATTGGGTGAGCTAACTCCTTTCATCGACTTGCAAGACCACAGTACTTAACATGCCTTGAATATTTTTACTAAATTACATCAAAGGACCCTTGAAAGTGATGAGGACTTTGTAGCATGCATCTCTACAACTACTTGAGAAGTTTTAGGCATACCACATATGTTTCAAAATGTGTATAATTTTATTCATTAGCATTTTCAAATGTAACAGTTTGTGGTCAAAATTTTGAACACCTTTTGTAATTTCAGTACATTTTTCAAATGCCATCTAATAAATAAATAAATAAATAAACTGTTATTTGTGATCTTTTATTTGTTGTCCTCTCCTAATAATAACACATGAAAATGATGTTTCCAACTTACAATGCTACATGATTTCAATTTGTTCTTCATACAACCTACACCTCGAAAGAGTTTGCACATATTTAGATGAATCACCCTGTATATTAATATAAATAAGATTAATTACATTATTATGAAAAACTGAAAATTACACATGCAGTGTGATGTCTTGTACACTATGCAGAATTTTTTTAAATAACTTAAACTTGGCCCCATAAAAAAAATCATAGCTGCCTCAAAGATCACATTCTTCAGAGAGAACATCATCATCACAATTACATAAATTTTCACTTTTTGCATACCTGTATATGAGAGAATAAAAGCATCTAAGTTTAAATTTTAAATTAGAATGAATAGACAGGCAACATGGACATTTTTGTGGTTTTCTTGGGTAAAATGTGAATTAGAGTAAACTTTTTCTGAAAAGAAAGACCTTTTCAAAGGCATTCATTATGCAGATTGCCTTAGTGTGCTCACCCCCAATCAAATACCAAATCCTTCATTTTTCAGTAAAATTTGGTTTCCCAGAATGTCAGGCACTTGCTTGCATTATATAATTCACTCCCATAGAATCAGCACATATGAAAGGAGAATATCTAACTATATGAGCTACGAACATGAAATGAACATATACAAACTTTATTTTCAGAAGTTTTGAAGAAATAAAAATCATTTAATGAGTCTAACAATAAAACCTGTGATGTAAGATATTGAAGTAATTGTGATTCAGAGCTTCAGAATAAAGCTATATCTGAGAATGATCACTCAATTGGATGAGAAATAAATGAGAAATTTTCCATATGAAAATACGAAAGAGTAGAAGACTGAAGAGGAAAATAAACAAGTTTCTAAATATTTCTTTTTTTTTTTTTTTAATTGAATAATGCAAGGAGTGTGAAAAATCTGGACAATACACAGTCCCTTACCGTTAATGAAAATTACTAGAAGCATTAATACATATTACTAAATTAATGTGTGAACATTTACATTATTAAAGTCAAGGGCAAATGAGTAAACACTAAGATGACAACATAAAATTAAAAGTTTCCAATGATTTATTCTTTTAAAAGAGACTTAAAAACCATTTCATGCGAATGCAAAAGTTATATGAGCTACAAATGATGCTCACTAAGAAAATAAAATAAAAATAGCTGAATATTTAGCAGAATTATATTTATAAATAATTCTTTTTATTACCATAAGTCAGAATTGTTAAATCGATGTAAATAACAGAAAAATTAGTGTGGAATCAGACATCCCTTTATGTTCATAGTGTATATGTATCCATCTACCATTCTGACTTAAATAAGCCAGTCAATCATAGGAATGTATAACATATATGTGTATATGTACAGTACAAAGTCCAAGATTTGGGATTTTTCCAGATATTTGATCATCAGTTTTAATCTAGGAAGACAGCACGTAGAAATTATAAAGTTAAAAACATGAAATGGTGATTTATGAAACAATGAAGCATTTATGAACTAAAGGAATCAAAATTTACCAAAAAAAAAAAAAATAATATTTCTTTATTTTACTGAACATTTCTTTCAATGCGAGTTCTTTAATTTGCATTTTTTTTTTTTTGGTGCTAATACTTTCTCTTTAATTATAGACAGACATAACTGGTAGTTCAGTTACTAAAGTTTCAACATTCAATTCCTGTAATTGCCATGTCGAGATTTCCCACAGTTGAAATTGAATTTTTTTCATTCAATCGTCAAATTCAGACAAAAATTTTTCATTTAAAACACATCTCTGTCACTTTCTTTGCTATCAATAGAGATATTTTCTGGATTTAGAACCATATTACAAATTTCCATAAGCTGACTGATGATTGGAGCATTGTCATCACCATGAAAAACTTCTGTTACCTCAACTTCATTTATTACCACTTCTCCACATTTCTTCACAAATTCCATTAACTGGAAAAGTTTGCTTTTTGTCTGCAATATCTGAAAACCTTCAGATTTGAAGCTGATGAAATTAAGCCTGAATTATATCAATTTAGTTATTTATTATACTTACAACTATTTCCTGCACATACTTAAGGCTTATGCGAGTTCCAAATATATAAATTAAAACATATACTTAAGGTTTATCCAGGACCAATGATAGACATTTTTCAACCTAATGTAATCGCTGCAAGACCAAAATTCTATTGCCAAGTGCCTCCCTAAATTCTAAACATTTTGCCAACCTTAAATTTTACATCTCAGTGCCTTCCCTAAATTCTAAAGATTTTGTCATCCCTTAATTTTGTTGCTCAGTGCTTCTCTAAGTCCTAAATATTTTGCCTTCACTAAATTCTGCTGCTCATTGCGGCCGCACCACCTCTGGCAAGAGCCCTGGAAAGGTTTCTGGCAAGAGTCCAGATCAGTTATTCTCATTTGAAACAGCACTAAATGTAATCTTTTGGCTTACAAGAATCATTATGAAAAATATATTTTGCATACAGGAAAAAAATTCTGTTAAATTTCTGCTCATTAATGCACTGAACACTTTGCAGTGGAATTAGCTTAAGTTTATAATCATGGATGGTCAAGTGCAAAACACGAAAGATTACCATGCTCTTCGGTATAAAAACAGGAATATTAAAATCTAAAAATAATAATAAAATTGTTTAGACATCGTAGCGTGAATAATTTTTCAAGCTGCGAAGTGTTAATAGGCATGCAGTGGCAGACAAAAGGGAAAAAATTTGCATCACCTACAAAGGGCAAATAGCGTGTTTCACATATGTTTTATGTTAAAATCATATTATTACGATATCATGCATAAGAATCATTTCAATATTTAGCAGATCCTCCATGAGATGTGATAACAGCCTTGCAGTAGTCCCGCACAAAAGATAACAACTTCTGAATGCAATCCTGGCCAATTTAATGGAACTAAACCCTAATAATGCTTTCATGCAGTTTAATCTTAGTAACAGGCTTCTTAGCATCAACTCTCGTAGCCATAATATGGCAGCAATTTTTAATAAGATTCAGATCAGGGCAATTCCCACGCTAGTCCAAAACTTTAATTCCAAATTTTGTCAAACATGACTGCACCTCAAGGGCAGAAATAAGGAGAAAATTACCCTTATTTTACCCTACCAAATGTTCATCTTTGAAGATGAATACTTGCAAAATGAAGCAACAAAATCATGCATAAGTTAGATCGTTGCGATTTCCAGCACCTATAAAATGATCATAAATAACTGGCTTTAAATACTCCTCCAAGATCTGGGTATAAACTGATGCGTTTACAGTTCCAGTAACAAACAAATTTCAGCCATCTAACCACTTTCCTGGATATGCATGCCCAAACCATTTGGGTCACAGGGAATCTCACATTGGGTAATATGGATCTAGATAAGCTTCACTTTTAAGTCTCCGAACAAACCACTTATTGCTCGACCTATGTAGGATGAATTTAGATTCAATCAAAAGTGTTACAAAGTCCCAATGAGGCTTTGCCCTTTTGGGGAAGAGGGGGTAAGTAAAGGCTTTTTTGGAGGAATTCACACCACAAGGCATCTTTGTACAGTTTTGCACTTAAGGCCACAGTCTTTCTCAAATTCAACTTTTAAAACAGCAGTACTTGCATGATGGTTATGAAGAGATATCTATTTTAGATACCGATCATCAGATTTTGTGGTCACTGTCTTTTGGCCTGATTGAGCATGTCTCTCAACATCACCAATTTCATGCTTCAATTTAATTGCTCTCAAGACTCAACTGATTGCAGCCAATTTTTTAGTGATCTCACACTTTGAATATTCTTTAGCTAAGGCAACTGTTGCACACATTTCCCTTTTTGTCAAATTAACATACAGAGGCATCATTTTATCGCTCAAAGGACAAGACCAATGACCAATGACCAATTTCCCCTTTTGCTGTGCTAGTTACACTAATTGGCTGACACAATATATTTGGAAACATTGTATGATGCAATAAAAATGTGGAATGATCTCGCATCTTGCATTGCAGCAGTTAAGATAATCTTTTTGAACAAAATAATGTGTTAACATTATAAAATGTTTGTTTTTCTAGGTGATGCAATTTTTTGTCTGTTGTATATATAGAGAGAGATTTATGTAAACGGTTTAAAAGTAACTAGTACAACCAAATAGAATTAGTTAAGAAATTCATACAATTTCTGTCTATTCAATGCAAATAAACTATATTCTGTTTTATTCTCATTTCATAAATTTCATTTATAATACCAGTAAAACAATATAAGAAGCATAAAGTATTCAACTAAATATGAAACTATGTTCAGAAGAAATCTGTTAACTAAGCATTATTAAATTTCTAAAATAAGATCTTAAGTTTATTTGTTTTCAAACTAGATATGCTCCTGATGAAACTTTATGCATATAACATATTTAAGTGGAAAATGTACAAACAACTAATTGGTTGAACAAATATTTCACTTACTTTGTAGATCATCTAAAATTAAGCAATTTCCAAGAGTAGGCGAATGTAAGATTTTAATATTTTGATAAGGAGAATCTTCTTGGAAAATCACTTTATCAAAATCATATTCTAATAAACGCTCATCAGCAGTTGTGAAATATAATGGTACTTCGGAACCTCTTTTAACAATAGGTATCCTAAAATTAAAGTAAAATCAGTAATAAGAATGTATTATAGAATCTATAACATGTTCAAATTACATGACACTGAGGAACACTATTTATTTGATGACCAATCATATATCAATAATAGAAATATATTATTTTTAGCATTAATATATTTTAGGTTTGAAGTAAAGAATAAAATTTGATCATAGACATAATTAAAAATAAATTTACAAACAAAAATTTAAAAAGTTATACTTTATAAAAGGTAAGATGAACAATTTCATAAACTACTTTTCTATACATAAAAAAGTCAGGAGTTAGGACTAGAGATGTGCTTTCTACTTACAAACTGATTCACTTTACGGACGAAGCAAATACATGATTCATGAAAAAAGATACCGTAGCTCTTTTGCAGTTCATTTACTGAAAGCTTTTGCTGTAAGCATGCCAGGAAAGTTTGATTCAGATTTTAGGCAAGAAAAGAATATTTATACTCCCATGATTAATGTATTTAATTTTTATCATTTCCAAAATTTTTTAAATTTTATTGTTGGCTCTATGTAGAAGGAAAGTTTTAAAGAAAATCAAAACAATAGTTGAAAGAAATCAGTTCAAAGGATTAGTGTTTAATTGAGTCAATTCCACAAATCCCACTGCTTATTCGATTCTTTTCACTCCATCATCGCTAATTGCTCTTGATTCACTTCTCCTTCCTGAAGTTTTTCATCAAGGTTAATATTAGTGAGCAGCGAATCATAAAAAAGAACTGATTCAGTTCAACAAGCAAATGGTTCAGATCTGATCCCATAAAAGAACAGTTTTGCCCATCTCTAGTCAAAACTAGTACTCATGTTTGCCATATCATTATAATTAAATCAATAACAGGATATATCAATTATATGGATAAGCTTCATGGATCAGATCAATCAAAAGCATTAATTATTTTAAAAACAACAGTTTGTGGCGAGCAAGTGGCAATCAGCAGGTACATGCGTATTTGCTTACGTGCTTAGAATATTCTGAAATACTTGAAAAATGCATATCTGCATTACACATGAGAAAAATTATAGAAAGTCCCATGCAAGCAGTCTGCTCACCAGGATTTGAAATAGTGTTGAACTACCAATACAGTCAAAAGTCGTTAATCCAGACTCATCGGGACTTCGGCAATTCCGGATTATCGATTTTTCCGGATTATAGATCATCAGTTTAAATTGGTAAGATGGCATGCAGAAATTATAAAATTAAAAATATGAAACCGTAATTTATGAAATAAAAAACAATTATGATCTAAAAAGTATCAAAATTTACAAAAAAAAAAGCTTAATATTTATTTGTTTACTTTATTAAACATTTCTTTCAATGTAAGTTGTTTAAGTTGCTTCGTTTTTTATGTGATAATACATTCACTTTAATTCTATAAACAGACATAATTTCTTGTTCAGTTACAAAGTTCCGCTGTTCAAGTCCTATAATTACTGTGTCGAGAATACCGACTAATTTGTCAATCGAAATTTTTTCGTTTTCAATAACCTCTGTCACTTTCTTCGCTATCGGAAGCGAATTATAATGACGAGGAATTTGACTTAAATCATATCAAAGACGGAGTACATCGAGATGAAATACTACATTTAGTAAGGAATTATAAGCCAAATAAAATAAAAACATCTGCCCTGAAGATAAGGAAGTGCTGACAGATCAACTTCCAATTCATTGCGCGCCGTGGCGTTAAAGATAAACAAAGTATATGCCTTTATCCATTTTTTGCAGCAATTCCACTTTTTTTAATGGACTTCGCTTTGTAGATCCTTTACATATTAGTAAATATATATCAGAAATTCTATTTGACATAATCAAAAGTTCAAGCTTACTTTTATAAAATTGCTCTAACAGTCTGCAAAAAAAATAATAAGCCTAATCCAATTCGAAGATTAAGGAACAACGCAATCTGCAACATTAACTGAATTAGATAATTTTAGCTTAGCTTATAACGTCCGTTATACATTAAATGCGCATTCGTAAGTGTATTTTGCGCACACACGTATTCGCAGCTGTCAACGCGACGCATGCGCAGAAAGTTTGCAGCTTTGAGGTCCGGATTATGGGTGTCCGAATTAATGACTTTTGACTGTACTCATTAAATTTACAACTTAACCGCTTATAAGTAAATACTGTACATCAGTGCACAGAATCAAAAGTGTACAGGTTTAATTCAATTTTTTGTTATATTAAACTTTAATCCAGGGCTTCTTAAATTTTTTCATTCATAATTCCTTTTTATCATCTAGGTTTTTGCCAACCCCTGGTATTAAATATAAAATACTGGTATAAAAATTAATATTTTTAATTCCCTGGTAAACAATACACACATAAAAAGAGGTAGTTTATTTCAGGTATGCAAAAATTATTGCTTGCAAATAAAATTGCTTAATTAAAATTTTACAACTGTACTTTGTGCGCAAGTTCGTAACCCAAAACCAAAAGAAATCATTACATATATACAGAAAAAAGTAAATACAATATTAAAAGATAAAACAAACAAAAACTGTATTTCTTTTCACTGTAACTATACAAAATAAAATGGATGGCATAAGTGTAAAATGATGTGGAAGATATTGTTTGGATGTGAAATTCCCTTCCATAACAACTTCCAAGTTGCTGCCTTTAACCCACGGGAAGGCGCGTGGGGTGTATCATACCCCAACCCTACATTAAAGTGGAATATTCCTAACTTGTGAAACTGAAATTTCTGTGCTGCTTTCAGTAGCTGAGTTTCTAGTTGTGGTTGACTTTTAGAACTGCTTTTTCTTTGCCTGTGTGTTTCAGAAAAAGATTTATCGGTATTTTGTTGGAGCTGGGGTATGACACACCCCATGCGCCTGTCCGTGTAAGTGTTTTTCTGACTGAATATTTAGTTCAGAAATTTATTTCTAGAGTGTAACAGTAAATATTTCTACTCGCAAGTGATTTTAAAGTACTTGACATTAAATTCTTAAAATTTTTTAACTGCATTATGGTAAAAAGAATGAGTCCCTATGAACTGGAGATGCAACACATGTGAGATTTATTAGAAATATTTGAAAGCGATAAAGATTGCATTTCGGAACTGAAGATGAAACTAAGAATATTTTCTACAATGTTTTGGTTTCGAAAAAGATAAAACATTAATTCTTGATGTTCCTAAAAAAGGAAAAACTGTTCTTATGCTTTCAACATTATATAACGATCATACTATAGATGATACTATTGGAGAAAATAAAACGTCAGGAATTATATGTTTTAATAATATGACTAAAGGAGCAGTGGATATGGGGGATGAAATATCAGCCAATTATTCAATTGCCAGAATAACAAGAAGGTGGCCAATGGTAATTTTCTTTCCTGCACTGAATATTGCTGTAATAAATGCTTGAATTATATTACATTCAACTGCTAATCCACCAACAAGAAACAGAAGTCTGTTTTTGAAGGACTTTTAGCATTACAATTAATGAAAAAAAGTTAATACTTTTCCAAGAAATTGACATACTGCATGCAAAACAAAAGCAGAAGTTTCAATGAAGAAGTAAAACGAATACATGAAATTCGAAACAACTAAGTATGAAAGATGTGTTAAATTTTTTGCCCTCGTGCCAAGGACAGAAGAACGTGAATGCAATGTTTAAAATGTGAAAACATTCCGTGCCAAGTACACATGAATGTATTTCGTTCAAAGTGTGAAGAAATAAAATAAGCATGGTGTATTAGAGATGCAATGAAACTTAGAGGCATAATGTTTATTATTTTCATTTATCTTAATTTTAACTCTAAGATTATTTCGGAAATTAATTTTTTGGAACCCAATTATTCTTCACTTATTTAAAATACACGAGAACAAAAAAAAAAAAAAAAAAAGTTTTAAAACTAAATAATAATATTTTTATTGTATTTTAAATATTGGGGTATGTGATACCCCACGCGCCCACTCAAGTAACTTTTCTTGGTGCGACTTCCGCCGAGTTAAGGAACATTATCTTTTAACTTTTCTTTATCTCTAAGTACCATTCGACTATACTTGAGATTCCTCTGTTTCACTCAAAGTTTGTCCAATGCGATGTTGTTCATATGTTTTAAGATATTGCTTAAAATGTATGCGCATGAATGTATATCTTTTAAGCACAATGTATATATTTTAAGCAAAGTGAGACGTGGTACTCTTGTTGAAAATGTTTATGTTGTAGCTTATTACTGCTTTATCAGGGTAAAATATTTAACACCCAAAAAAAAAAAAAAAAAAAAAAAAAAAAAATGCAGTTTCTCCAATTTTGCACAAATTTCACAGACCAGGTCATTTTTCTTTCTTCCTCTTTTGCAGGCATTTTTTCTCAAATTGCCTTTTATTGCTCCTTCTAAAGCTGTAGTTCTTTCTTTTTTACATCATCTTTGTGATCCTCTAGTCACTTCTCCATGTTAACCTCTTAGTACATGGTTTTACTTAAAAACACCATATCAAAGCTAACAAACAAACGAAAAAAAAATGGTGTCTTGAGGCATCATTTACCATCTGCAGCGTTTTTTCTTCAGATAATTTGTTTGTGATCCGAGATTCCTATTCCTTGTGCACTGTTCAATTCTTTTGCTAATTTTGTTACAGCAAGGGCCTGAAAGGTTTCAGATTTTAACAGCTGCCAAAAAGGGTTTGCTAAGGTTTCTTATACAGTCTCTAAGCTCGCAGTCTGCTTTTTACTCACTCCTAATAACTTTTTTTTTTTGTCTTTTTAGCTTTTATTTTCTTTGTATTTACACCACATACAATTAATTCAACAGCAAAATTTTAAAAAAAAATTTAAAGCACCATTGTACAGTACAAAGTCTTTAATCCGGACGTCCATACTTCGGAATGATCTATAATCCGGACCTCAAAGCTACAAATTTTCCGTGCATGCGGAGCGTTTACGCATGCGCATAATACGTTTACATATGCACGTTTAATGTATAACGGAAGGTATAAGCTAGGCTAAAATTATCTATTTCAGTTAATGTTGAAGATTACATTGTTTCTTAATCTTCTAATTGGATCAGGTTTATTATTTTTTCCAGACTGTTAGAGCAATTTTATAAAAAGTAAGCTTGAACTTTTGATTATGTCAAAAAGAATTTCTGATTCTGGAACTGCCAAAGGATCTATCTACAAAGCGAAAGCATGTTTCGATGCCTATCAAACAAAAAGTTAAATTGCTGCATAAAATAGATAAAGGCATGAAGAAAGTGACAGAGAAAACGAAAAAATTTCGATTGACAAGTTAGTCGATATTCTTGGCACAGCAATTACAGGATTTGAACAGCGGAACTTTGTAACTGAACAAGAAATTATGTCTGTTTATAGAATTAAAGAGAAAGTATTAGCACATAAAATAAAGCAACTTAAACAACTTGCATTGAAAGAAATGTTTAATAAAGTAAACAAATAAATATTAAGCTTTTTTCTTTTGTAAATTTTGATACCCTTTAGATCATAATTGCTCTTTATTTCATAAATTATGGTTTCATGTTTTTAATTTTAAAATTTCTGCATACCATCTTACCCGATTTAAATTGATGATCTATAATCCGGAATCGAAGTCCCGACGAGTACGGATTAAAGACTTTGTACTGTAGTATACATTTAGAATTCTCGGTGCTGCTTTAAGTGTTGCCATACATTTTTTTTTTTTTCTTTTTCTTTTTCCAGTCCTTTCTCAGTTCATCATATCATTGTTCAGTTTTCTTACTAAGATGGCTTTACAAAACTTTATTTTGTCTTTTTATTAATAATTTGTGTGTTAATTTTATTTATTAAATATCATATTCTTGGCATTTATGCCCAAAACTTGATTCAACAGCAAAATCACGAAATATTTAAAAACAGCATATCCTTATAATTTCTGACAGACAATCTCACGCACTGGAGATAAAAATGTTTTTCGTACAATGTTGCCACTGCTTGCTTTGAAACCGTCATGTTTGTTAATAACAAATTCATTTAAATTTTAGAAAATATGAAACAAATTCAAGATTCAGGTTTCCAGGTGCCCATGCTCGGGTGGAGGACTACGTTATTTGAAATTTGGTGGCTCTAAGTACCATTGTTTTTCCACAGTGCGAGAAGTATACCTACTTTCATGCATATTCTTCATGAATAACTAAAGAGAAATATTAGATAAGATTAAAGATGGGATTAAAAAAATTACAATCTTTAATATGTTTTTTTTTTTTTTTTTTAATTTATTTATTTAATACCACCCTGTTTAGTACAGCATTCTACAATGACCCGTTAACAATTATGCAAGAGATTGCTAAAATTAATGTCCGAATTTTAAAAAATGTAGTTATTTTGAAAATATTTATATCAACATAATAAAGGCATTTTCTATTTGAATCTTTAATAAAACAAAATAACAACTGAAAAGATATTACCTAAAGTTTGTGAATTTATCAATTCCCCCCCCTAATTAATCATTTTACAAACATGATTTAATTTGCAGCAATGAATTTAAATGCTATTTACACATTTCTATAATTTTTAATACAAGAAATGGAGCAGTTTTTCTAACTAAATTCAAATCTTCAGTTTGCCATTTAAATCATTAATAATGCAATTAGCAACTCACTTAGCAGAAAATTTCAATATTATTATTTTTCACTCAATAATCAAATAATAGAAAGAACACATTGAAGGATATGACAAAATATATTTTACAAAAAGAAATAATCACTATATTAATCTGTGTTTATGTTTCTATAACAAATAAAACTTACTTTTCAGTTCTGAATTTCAAACTGTTATGTAGACTTTTACGCAAATCTTCCAATTTCTAAAAAGGAAAAAAAGAAATTAGTCTACGTACAGACTTTATGCCTATATATAAAATCAGCTATAAGAAATACTTACTGGGTTTGTAAATGCTGCTTCTTCTAAGCAGTCTTCAAATGTTAGAGTTATTAAACCAAATGGGTATGTTTTCACTATGCAAGTTAAACTAAAAAGGAAAAAAACTATTAAATGTTGAAATATTTAAAATTTGAAAAAAAAATCACTCCTATAGTTTCTTTGCATAAAAAAGATTGACAGTTTCCTGTTATGTACCTGCCATGCCTTTTTGGCAGAATTCAAATACATGTGAAGACTAAAAGGTTTAGAGGGCTGTGCACATGTATACATGCATGTAAACAAGAATAATTAAACACGTGCATATTATTACAATAGTACTGCAAAATGGCATGGCAAATGCATAATGGAAAAGTACCAACAAAATTAAGGTGAATCTTTGAAATATGGTAACTTGGCGATTTTCTGGCGAAAATTTGACGACCAACCCTGCTACAGCAACCTGCTAGGTTTTTTTTTTTTTTTTTTGGATGCCATTTTGTTTTCACAAAGTAAAGGCATTTTTTTTTTAACTCAACATTTTTTCCAAAAATCTGCTAGCCGAATTACACTTATGCTAGAACTTTTATGGAACAAAAGTGCTTAATCATGACGAAGATTAGGTGCGAAATTGGGAGAAAGTGCAGAATCACCACTGCTTGCTGCGTTTTTAAGAATTGCACATACACAGTATTCATGTACACGTCGACCTATTTTCGCTTAAAAAAACATCCCAGAATTAAACAAAAGTGACATTGCGCACACTCTTGACTTTATCCATGTACACATCGACCTCTTTTCACTTAAAAAGTCAAAGAAAATTGACAAATATCCAATTATTACTTTTGTAAAAAGCGCCAAACAAATAAGTGGGCGATTCTGCACTTTAGCAGGGAAATTGTTTCTAAGTGCTTATTAGCTAAAATCACGATTGTAATTTTCCAGAAAATGTCACATTACATGTCTCATGTTCTCTCATTTCTCTGAGACAAAATAATCTGCGATTCAAACTTTGTACTTCTCAGATTATTGCTAAAGTCCTAGCTAGTAACCTTTATCGCCTTACAAAATGTCGCCAAACTACCTGTTACCATATTCCAAAGATTAGCCAAAATTAAATATAATTGCATTCATAAAAAATAATGTAAATATATATGAATTTATTATATGCAAGACATATTTTAAAAAACACAATAGCAACACATATACATGATGTGAGGGGCAACCAAATTGTTTCCATTGGAGTGCGTCGCTGCAGTATATATGCAAAACTTGTTGCTGATGTGAGTGAGTATATAAGCATTGGCATCTTGGTATGGGATTATGGTGGCATTCGTCTATTTCCAAAGAATGTATGGAAAATGCCCGAATGTTAACAATGGTGACGTTATTACCAATGCATCCAGACAGGATCAACATGCTGTTATTCTTTTCATGGCTGCTGAAGAACAAAACCAGTAGATATTGAAGAATGTGTAAGGAGAAGCATGCCTGTCGAAAAGCACCATTGTGGAAAGGTGATTTATGTACGGTGTTGAAAACGATCTTTCAGCAGTACATGTTGTTACAGGCAAAGCCAATAAATTTTTAGAAGTTTATGGATATCTAAGTTGCACTCTTGTAAAGCTTCTATAGCAGTTAATCTAGTTTATTATGCCAGCAATTTCTTTTTCCGTAGCTGATATTCTGCAGTCAAAATACTCATACTACAATTTGACAAATTTGAACAATATGTATCTTTCAGAATTTCTAATTTATTTTCATCCGCAGATATGAAGTCATTCTCCAGTATGATTAAAATATTTAATGAACTCAAAATTGCTTTATGTTTTGTAAATCTTTAAGATGTAAAATTAGAGCATCCAAAAATTGATTAAAAATTGTCACCCTAAAATAATATTTGGATGATTCTGGTGGAATATTAGAATGATTTTTTTGGGAGGGGTGTTGTTTTCATGGCTAGTCATGGAAGAATTCTATAGTCTTCATCAATTTTTTTTTTTTTTTTTTTAAACAGCTTCTTACTTTAGGAAAATGGAAAATAGAACTGAAACCCATCTCTAACTGTGAGGTCCACTGCCTTACCTGCAAAATCCTAAATTAGAGCAATGTACGAGCATCCTAAATTAGCACTTTTTGTATCGAAAATAAAGTAATGGCAAAACTGGAACTCCTTAATGAATTAAAAAGAATGTAGGCCCTGGCAAATGAATTTTTATCAAACAAATTTCCAATTAATTCAAGAGCATGAATCAAAGAATGGATAAATTCTACCATCACCATATCCATCTACAATAGCTAAATTTTCAGAATGAAAAGTTCAATGTACATGTAATTTTGTTTTCCTTTTTTTTTTTGGCTTGTACACCATTAAATGCACTAGACAGGGCAGCAGCACCATCATATCATTGGCCTCTTAATATATCTTAAATTCAAACTAAATTATTCTTATGTTTTCAAAATTATGTTTGGTAGATCTTCTCCTATGTTGAAACTACTAACTAGCACAAATGCCACTGCTGCAAGTCAATATCATATTTACTTATGCTTTTCATAAAAGTGTTGAATAAGTATATTTTTCATTGATATTGGTTCTAGTGATGAACAAAATAAAATATCTTCTGTAATAAGATTCTTTGCATCATATCTTATGAATGTTATGAACTGATATATCTGCTACATATATTAGAATATTTGTCTATCTGTACAAAATGCATTTTTTAAGATTTTTCTAAAATTCGAGTTTTAATATCTTCTGCTATACCACTTATTCTTTTTTTGAATGGTATTATTTAACAGTGGTATTGCTTTTAATTTTGCAGCCTCCTTTTTCACCAAACATTATTTGCACCATTTCAGAAGCTGCTAGCAAAATAAGATCTTCAGCAATTGTATGTGGTTTACTGGTTTTGGCAATGCAATATGCTACTCTAATTAGCTTAGTAATGCTTTCTCATTAGCAGTAGTTGCTGATGGAAAAAGTGTCTTGCTCCTTGTGAAAGAAATTTAACTTTCTTTCAAAAAATTCCGTGTGTTTTTCTTTTTTGACATTAAAGGAGCATCCAATTCTACACAAACAAAAAATATATAATCTCAATAAAGTGCATTTTAATCAAGAATTAATTAACATAAAAAAGCACTATGCGCTACTATCGCATCTACGTGCTACACAAACGAAATATCCACTTACCTTATTTAGAAATTTCTATGTCTTTCTTAATATCATCCCAAAACCAAAATTCCTTAATAACATCTAAAAACCAAAATTCCTTAATAGCATCCAAAAACTTTCCTCAAACCATGTTCCTTTTCTAATGGAATGCTTTATATGGTGAGTATTTGAACCTTTCTTTGCGACAAACCCATTCAAAGCCATCTGAATGATCTTTACGTTCGACCATATGCATTTCTGTCATACAAAGAACACACTTATAATTCCGTTGAATTACATCCAATAGAACTTCTTTTCTTCAGTCCTTAACCACTTAAAAAATAAAAAAAAACCCTCCGCTCTCTCATTCTATACCACCAAACACCCATTCACCACCAGCAGCCATTTTTATGGTGCATAGCACACAATACACAATGTTGATCTAACAAATATTTTTCCATCAGTCAAATTCACTGGAATCACACAACCAGTCACGTCATAATAGGGTTTCCATAACATTCAAATACTCAGGGTTACCATTAATGAAACAAAACTTGGAGATAATCCAAGGTGCACCCTAAAATAAAGGCTAACCCAAAATTTTAATAAATAATAATAAAACTCACCTTCCATTTTCATTTCCATATATTAATACTACAGTATCACCAAAAACAGTTTCGTGTTTCTTTTGTATAAAAAGTGGTAGCAAAATTTCATCAATACTCTTCAGAATGTTAGATCTCTTTTCTGCAATTAATAATTCAGCAACAATTAATAAATATATAAATGAAAATACATATATTATCAAACCACAAAATCAAGAATTAAAAGCCAAACACTGATTTTAAAAACAACACAGTAAAAATATACAAGTGAAGAAACACTATATATATATGAATTTTAAAAGGTTAGGATTAACATACTTACAAACACAGTATATGTATATATATATATATGAATAAGTATTAGATATATATATATATACATTACAACATTTTTAATCATCTTTTATTTGACATCATTTACATTATCAATAGCACCAAGTGTGTCATAAATATATCTGCCTGGTCACATTTCAAAATCTTGGACAATATGAAATATTTTAGACTTGAAATTTTAAAATTTCAGTTTGCTTACCTCTGGAATATAAATCTCAGTTATATAATATCCATTCAGATTCATATGAAATAATGGTACTTTTCCGTTTTGCCGGCGCAAACTATAAAGTCGCCAATAATGGTACAACTGATGCCAAACGGAATATCTTCGCTGGTAACCTTTTACACCTCATTTTCAGAACAAGTCGCAGCCATTTCTTATTAGATTGATTGTTTTTTTTTTTTTTTTTTTTTCCAATACTGGCATACAATTTTACATAGAATATTTACAAAGATAATTAAATTTTATGCCTTAAGACCATCCTCGGTAATTAAGTCCATTAGGATGCAATCACACTGCTCACCCGAAGGCGAATATAGAAAAGACAAAATCAAGGGTTAAATTTATCAAGTCTAATGAGAATGCACTAGCAAAGTAAAGCATTGCGGATTTACATAATTTCTGAGTAAGCTATTCGTATAAATTGAAATAATTCTTGCATTTAAACTTGTATTCCAAATTAAGATTTAACTTGAAATTAATGTAGAAAATTACTGAGAGAATTAGATTTTTGTAGCGTAGTTTACGTGAGATGAGATCACTTGGGGTCACGTGATACGAACCGGCGAGTCAGGATGTTGAATCATGATAGCATAGTAAATTCTTAAATTAATGTCTTTTTAAAAGTTTATTGTCTTTATTTATTCGATTTTTACAAAATTTTAAACCATATTAAAATGCTTATGCCTTCAGAATAAAAAATTCTTAGAACTAACATTTGTTAACATTTTTTATGTGTATACTGTATGTTGTTGCCAACAAAGTCTGCTTGGTGAGATTTGCGCTAGCGAAACCGAAAAGTACCAAAATAATCAATGCATTTCATTTAATTTAATATTCAGCACTTTGTTTCAGAAAAACCAATGGAATGGTTTTTCTGAAACAAAGTGGTATTTCTGGTATTTTAGTGGCACTTTTCGTTTTTAACAGAAAATCTCTGTTTTTGTTAAGATCAGCCCAATACCTCCTTTAGATTTTATTCCACTTTCATGGTATACATAAGTCATTTAATAACTGCTGGAAAAAAATTTCTCTTATTGATGTCACTCTTTCAGTATTATGCAGGGAAGCCCAAAATCATTCTGCAAAAATGAAACTTTTTCAAATTTATAAAACTTCAGTAAAGCACCACAGTGAAACTCCAAACATAGAAAAGGTGTTTAAGTTAAAGATGCTATTAAAGAAACAACTCAAAGGAAGTTTCATCTTATGTCATACATATTACATTCTATAATTCTTATTACCTAATTATATACACTCATTTCAGCTAATTTTTTCTTAAATGTACAAAAAAAGAAAATAATTCTAAAATATTCCAATCAATATACACATAATAATTATTAATTCTGTTACCCATATTAAAAGAAATGAAATTATATTAAAAATATCAATATTTCTACATTTTATATCATATTTTACTATAAATTATTTTCCCTTTCTTTCAGCTGCTTTTTAATTTTTTTACAAATTGTCTTGGTAAATTTATTTTATAATCAATATTTAAGGCTGATTTTAAACCCCTGTACTTTTCATTCATGAAATTAGGTTTTACATACATTGACAGAAAGGAAATGTAAAATCTAGGTTGACTTTTGTTCAGTTTGATAAACATTTACAGCTGCTTCTTATTAAAAATAGCTGTTTTGTATTTGTATTTACTGCTGGTTCCTGTAATTTTCATCTCAGAAATTTTTATGTGCATTAAAACTTTGTGTACATTAAAAGAAAAAAAGGCATATGAAATTCAGGCAAAATTTTATTCAGTTTGATAAATATAATGTAATATTTTTAAACAAATTATTGTCCAACTCAGAGTCTCAAAACTAAATGAAAATTACATACCTGCATCTGATAAAATAGATGAATCGATATGAAGATCAATCATAGATGTTCTTGCTTCCTTCATTTTGCTAAAAGCTCTTTTAAACACCGCCGTTATTTTCCAGGTATTTTTCTCAATTATAAGAAGTATTAATTAGAGCTGAAAAAGAAAATAAAAATGCAAATGGATATTTTACGTAAAATATAAAGGTCGAGAAATTTTTTTATTGCACGAATGCATTAATAACTTTCCAAGAATAATTGAGCATCAATTTTCAGATGAATGCAAATAACTCGGAAAGAGCAATTTATGTAATATTTAATTATGTAAAATCTCTAAAATATGATCAGTGGGATATGCATAATGAATCCAATGGCGTTTCCCTAATCTGCTCCAAACACGTGCAATGAACACTTCAAAAATTTTTGATTTTATTGTCTCCCTTTTACCTCTTGCAAATATATATTTTATGAATTACTCCTGTTTCTTTTTAAAAATAAACAAAAAATTATTTTAGAGTGCCTTCCTAAATATAAAAATACTCCTTGTTTTTTTAAATCACTAACCTTTCAAGTTGCCTTGATACATACCGCCAAAATAACAATGCTGATAACAAAAGCAACTTCTATTATTAACCTTTGGATGGTGGCGTCATCTACATATAATGAAATGAACTATGTTTATTTCTCTTGGAAAAAATGTTGCATTGATTAGCGACTTGTATTTCCTTCTGTAGTCACGTTTGACCCCTACTGTGAATATCCTGAGGGGGAACTTTAAAAGTAAGTTATATATATATATATATATATATATTTGTGTATGTTTAATTTCACAGAATGATCAATTAAGGTATTGCAACATTTTGGAACAATTGATGATATAAATCTCCTAGATTAAAATCGTTAAATTATGATCCCCACACTGAAAAGAATATATTTAAAAACTCCCATTACATCTATAAATAATTCTAAAATCGCTTAGCAACTGATCCATCATACATTTGATACAACAAAAGAAATTAAGCATAAATCGTTTATGACATTAAAAAAATAACTCATACGCTTATGAAAGAGGTGTTAAAAAATACACTACGAAACTAAAAATTAGGAAATAAGTTAGTACGCTAATATTTAGCGCAAGTATTTTTACGACCGTTTCCTTATGAAATGATAAGTAGAAATATATGTTACGAAACAGGTCTAAAAAGGAAGTAAATGTTCTAAAAATTAAATATTATTTAAAGTTTGGTACAAGTGCCAGTTTTATAGTTGCTAGTTAAATGTTTTTGAATTTTTTAAACAGTCAAATAAAATACAAGTCTTCTTAGTGCGATGTACGTTTGCAGCGTAATTTGGACGACGGGTGTGATGTGTTACAGTGGTGGCACCATCTCTCGAGACAGCAGACACATGAGCCAAAGTAGTATAGCAATTAGGATTTTTAGTAGTATAGTATAACAATTAGGATTTCTTTTAACAACCGAATTTCTTATAAAGAGCCATGTTTTTAGGAATCGGTTTAGAATAATTACTAACATTAAATAAAACAAGATATAATAATAATAATTTTATTTATCAATAAAAGTATGACAAAACACATATTTAATGTGAACAATGACACTGGATTTCTTTGAAAAGTCTGGTTTATATGTCGCTTTTTTATTTCAAACAGGATTCTCGGTTTCATAAATAATATATCTCAATTTACTTTTGATGAGTTTCATGCTTGAAAAAGAGTCTTCGCATGAATATGTACAGTTGTTGGCATCTACTCCGGTAAAAGAAAAAGAAAAACGCGATGAGGTCTCATCGAGTATACACTAGTTGATTTAAAAGACACGAAATAATTTGCAACCTTCTGATATAATTGACACAATATTTTTGATCAATCGGACGATACGTGATAATATTTTGTTGTGCTATGGATGACGATAAAATTTCCCAGTCGAATGCTGAAGCTAGCAAGGTTGTAGTGACATTAGTTATTTCGAAGCAGGAGACATGAAAAATGAGCAACGCTTGCACAGGGACGCATATAAGAATTCTGTACCGCGCCACGCGCATAGGGAAAACTACTATAAATGGACTTGTACTTGTAAATGGACATTCTTTCCGATGACATCAATTGCTCTCGGCGTAATGACACTTAGACGGGATTCTTACCATTTTGCTCTCGATGAATGACTCGCATGAATGACACGGAAGCGTGAAAATTACCGTTTGTTTTCTTTGAAACGAAAACATTTAGCTGCAATGTTCTAAAGATGGCTTCCTGTTTCGTGGAATTATGAAATCATAAAATCTTTCAAAGATGCTGTTAATATCAGAAGCAATCTTAAGCGTTTAGATTATGTAAATAGCTGAGTTCTTAAATTTAGTGCAAAAACCAAAACAGGACGGTCTCAATCCAACTATAAAGGCATTGTGCGCTAACAAGTATATTATTATTATTGCAACTTTGTTGCATTCTGTTCCTTACACATTGAAGAAAATATTTCCTTTGCAAATGTTATGTTATTTCTATGTTAACGTCCATGTCATTTCTAATGTTCTGTTGCCTTAAATAAAAGAAAAAAAAAGGGCATTCAGTATTGTCGCTGAATTTAATACACATGCACTTAAAAAGGAATTTCTATTTCTGTCAAACTTTATTTTTATGCAAAGGTAGAAAAGATGTTGCACAGTAAAAAGGGCAATATTCATAAAGTAATATTATTCAATTTAAAATAGGTATCTCTGTTTATCTGTTTCAAATCTATATTAGTTTAACTTCAAAAATACATTTTGTGAATTTACTCTGTACTATGTTAGCTTCCAACGTCGTCTTTGCTATGTCCGAAAAGTGACTTGTCTTATGCTTTCGGTGGCTGCATCTGCAGAAAATGGATATATAATAAACATGAAATAAGGACTTAATAATCGTGACACTTTTAAGATGAAGGGTTTTAAATTAATACATCCATTAAAAATCTCTGCACTTAATATTAACGCACATTTACCGGAGTTAGCGCAAGAAAAAATAATACTTTTTCTCTCTAGGGGGGGGGAAAGAAAAAAACCCCTCATTTTTTATATTAAATTCACAACAGTGTTGTAAATGTAATCTCATAGTAACAAAAATACAACGCACGTAATGATCTTTCCGGTACTGCTATCAAAATGTAAACAAACGGTATGCAGTTGTACCTTCGAGCTCAAGCAAAGTCAAGGCGTTCCTAAGCGCAAAAGAAATGATGTCATCGGAACTCATATCCAGTCACGAGGAGGGATTTTTCCCTATGTGTGTGGCGCGGTACAGAATGCTTATATGCCACCGGGACGCGTAATGGCAAACCGCACATTGAGTTGATCAATGTTAGGGGAATTTCGCTTACTGCGCATGCCCAGAATATAATTTGGTGCAATTACAACTTTGGCGCATTTTTAAAAGAAGATAAATTCGGTATATGGTTCATATTGTGTTATCTGGGCGTAAACAGTTCGGTGTTTTAAAACTTGTTAGGTTGTAACTTGCTTCATTATATAGAGTGTACACTACGGAAATTTTAGTTTAAGAAATATTACAAAACAGGAAACATTACAAGATATAGCTGAATGCTTACTTTTTATAATTCTGAGGAATAAAAGCAATTGAGTATTTATCATACGTTCCATTTCTATATACTTTAACAAATTAAGGAATTAAAGTCAAATAACTGATATTAAATGTAATATTTATAAATAAAATAAACCAAAATGAAATGAAACAGGAGCACACGCAATAAGTACACACAAATTTACGGAGTATTTCAATTGTAAACAGTAAATCCAATATGACAAACAGGCTTGTGTAAGGGTTGCTTATGCCCTTAGTCGCCAGTATTTCCTCCCACGCTAACGTTAGACCATTGAGCATGCGCAGTAAGCGAAATTCTTTTACATTGATCAACTCAATGTGCGGTTTGCCATTACGCCATCGGGACTGGAACTACGGACCTCTCAAATACGCATCGAACGCGCTGACCATTACTCCACGATCGCATGCTAAGAAGGCAGAAAAAATACCTTATAAGGTGAGTGTGAAAATTCCGCCGTTTTGGGTCGAAAGACTTGAGATATGGTTTATCAGGTAGAGGCCCAATTTCAAATTAGTGAAATCAAGAATGAAGAAATGATGTTTAATTATTTGGTCGCCCAATTAGAACCTAGATTTGTGGAGAACATCTGGAATATCATAAAAAAACTCTACGAGCAACAAATATTCGGCTGCTAAGGAACGATTACTCAACACTTTTAAGGAAAGTGAAAATCTCCGCATTAAACGTTTGCTCACGGGGTTGGAACTTGGCGACATGAAACCCAGCCAGCTCCTTCTCAGAATGAAATCTCTGGGCGCAGACATGTTGGAGAAAACTTTGAGATCTCTCTGGTTGGAAAAGATGCCAGATGCTGTGAAAAACATTCTAGTGATTAGTGATGAAACGCTGGACAAGTTGTACACAATGCCTGATAGAATTGTGGAACTAAACTGACGCCAGGAATCAGCTGCCGTCAGTAAAAATACAATGTGGAAGAACTACAGCAGAAAATTACCTCATTAGAGCTCCAAATTGCCAGCATGACTGCCCGGAACTCCAGACCACGGACTCGCAACTTCATTAGGAATCGTTCGAGGTCAAGAAAGAAATTTGAGGAAAAAGGTAAATATTGTTATTACCATTTTAAATTTGCCACTAAGTGCTATCCTGAAAAATGTAAAGAACCTTGTGAATGGAAACAGTAGGGAATCGTAAATCAGCAGTAAACTCCGGGGCCAGTTCTACTGCAATGAATTATAATTGCCGCAAATTCCGACTATATGTCACCGACAGAAAATCGGGATTACGGTTTTTAGTGGACAGGTGGAGCCGACGTAGTACTGATACCGGCAACTACAGCAGGAATTATGCCTTGTTCCTATACATTATATGCTATCCATGGCAAAGAGATCCCAATTTATGGTGTAAGAACTCTAAAGGCTCGTTTCCACTACTGCGTACGAACGCGTTGCGTCAATTGAAGACACGCCTACGGCATCCGTACAAGCGTTTCCACTGCTGCGTATCCGTAAAATATTTTCAGTTTACGCCGCTAGGTGTCATTGTAATATTTTGGCGCAAACAAGCAGTTCGCGAGTTACGACGCTGAACTTCTGAATTTTTCCCGCTTAAGCGAGTATTGTTTGTTTTGGATTTGATATGGATCCTGACTTAAAACGCAGAAAAGCTTTGTTTACTAAATTCCATGTTATTGGAAATTTTTATTTCTGCTTATGACCTGCGAAAGCAAAGTACGCTAGCAATTTTTAGATAAGTAAGGTTATAAAGCACATTATGAACATCACTAATTCCATGGAAGCTGAAGTAAATTTAAAAAAAAAAAAAAATTGTCTTTCTAGAAGCCTTAAATATTATGAAATAATATATATATATTATTAAACTAAAATGTACTGTTAGTGAAAAAGTAAACAAATAAATAAATAAAACAAAAGAGTTAAAGGAATTAAAAAATAGTTGGTACTTTAAAAGTACAGAGCAACTGTAAAGAAAGGTTCACAATATTTACACAAAATTTGCTAT